GGGGATATAAATGTTGTTTTATTTTAATGTGTCTAGAATTGGATTAAATATTTATTATTTTTGTATGATGATAATATGATATGATTAGGTTCAATTTAAAGTTAAAATAAATCCGATAAGAGGAATACGAAAGCAAGTAAATACGAAACAAGCCAATGTAAAAGTACTTTAAAACATTTCCATAATTTTATTAGGGCTATGTGCTCTAAGATTTATAAGTATTGATGCTTGATGAGTTGGGGTCTATATTGAAAGATATACTTACCACGCGTTTGACGTTAATATCTGAACTAATTTAGTCTTCAAACATATGTTCTTTTTATTATAGGGGCGCATCGCATGCAACCGATCTTAGCCTGACAGCCTATGGCCATATTAACAATAACAACAATAACACTAATAACTTGGGTGCAGGCGGAAAGGCAATGACCCTGAAGCTGTCCAATTCCTTCAACGAGTCCGCCGCAGTGTTAAATCTCTCCAAGTGCTCCTCGATTAATGTAAGTGGCGATCACTACTACTGCGATTACTATGTGAAGCCGGAGCTGGATCTCTCGGTGGGCGGTGGGGCCGGAAGTAGCACCAGTGGCAGTAGCTCCGGCGGCGGACCACTTCCTCTGCCCGCTCACCAACACCAGGCTCACAACGACAGTCGGGTGAGCTCAACACGGGACGAGCATCGGGCTCTGCAGCACAGCTGTGAAGACATTGACGACAGCTCGATACGCAGCGGGGACGAAGATACCGGCCACGCATCCGACGTAGTGGAGGAGTTGGATGCCATCGATGCAGATTTTCCTTATCCTCTAATCCTGGATTCCAACTCACGCGGTAGCCCGAATGCTGGTGTGGACGAGGTGGTCTTGTCCCGCAAGCTTCGTCGGAACGTCGATCAAGATGGTTTGGAGGAGGGTAACGGGCACGGCGATGCAGTTATCGATGGTGACGACTACGAAGAACAGATGCTACAGCAGCACCGCCATCTCCGGCAGCAGCAGGGCGTCGCTAGCGGAGGTCTGGATCTGCCGCCCCCACAAACTGTACGTGAGGTCTTGAACTCCAAATTCTGCGGCTTTATTTCCGCCAAGCTAAACAGCATGGAGGACTCGGAAGCGGACAATTTAATGAATCGCATTCTTCTGTTACTGGTTCAAGTGCAGCAGTGCGAAGGGTCCACAAAATAGACATCCTAAAAGAAGAACACTAAGTGTACAAGTGTAGTTATAGTAGCCAAAAAAAGTTCATTATGGATGTAGCTAATCAGGGCACTTACAACTGATTTTATCTTGCCATTCCATATGACCTCCCCGAAACAAATACAAATTTACTTGCCAATGCCAAATCTGTGCCATACCAAAAGGATCAATTAAATATGAATGATTTTCTAAAACAATCTCTCATTTTTTCGCTCTTGTTTACAAAAATCAACAAAACTCAACGAAAAGACAACACAAAGACGTAAACCAAATACATCAAATAAGAAACATATTTTAATTAAGCTTTGAATGTTAATTTCGTTTTAAGTCGATCAACTGTAGATCATACTCATGCCAACGTCTCATCACATTAAATAATTCTTTATATAACCTATTATTTTATCCAGATTATCGCCAATCTTATAGTATAACTTCTTGTTAAGTTAAAAACGATGAAATTAGATAAGAAAAGTGTTAAACTTAAAAAAGTGAACATATTACTCATAGTTTCATATACAGCGATATGAATATTAATAGTTTCTGAACACTAAATGAGAACAGTTTTTACAATTTGTCGATACTGACGTTTTTGAATAAAACAGCATATATGACAGTATTTATATTTTGGTATCGATGGACGCCCATAATATTTTGAACATTCAGCCCTATTTAAATTTACATTTTTTAAATAATACTCCAGCTTAAAATGTATTCCATACATCGGTAGGTATTGACAAACAAGTAAGGTAGGCTCTAATACAAAAGTAAAAGGAATCTTCGGCTTGCCGATGCTACTACTCACACATTATATAGAAAACAAGATGGAATGCTTAAGTCGAGTTCCCCGACTATCAGATTCGGGGATTAGATTACCATATTTGTCAGACTAAAAGTTATGGGCGCTTCGTGGGCATTAGAGTGGGCGTGGCAACATCAAAAACAACAACACTGATATATATGAAACCGAAAATATTATATTTATTTACAAAAAACTGTTGTATACCATTTTTGTTATCAAAAACAACGCAGGAAACGTTTCTACATTTATTATGCGATTATTTCCACGGCACCACACGCTGTTATACGCTCGCAATGCTTCCTTTACTGTGTTGCAAAAACCTTATTAAAATTAATATACCTTCTGCAAGGGTATACAAATCATTAATACTGCGATATTTTTTGAGGTTTATCGGCTTTGGAATGTTTGCGGCCAATGTATATATGTATATTAAATTTACGCTGCTACATCTGCATGCTTTATTCTACCTTAAAAACTCGTTTACTTCCTAAAAGCCTGATATTCAATTCTGATAAATTCTGCTTTATTCCTCCTTTTACATATTCTTAAACTAGAAACTAATGGTAAACTAAATTTGAATGTGATTGTCGTTCTTCAAGTAACTGACTGTTAAAATATCTTGAAACTAATTACAAATTGGTAGCCTACGACAACCACCCAACATCAACCCAATAGCAAGCATACACATTGGACCTGAAAGACATCCATATATCATCGTGCAAATTCTGTTCAAGTGAGACTGCAGGGTTACCAATTCAATAATACAGACGGCGTATAGGCAAGGAACAAAAGGATAAACGACTATAACAGCGTATGAGCCACGGTATGCGATCCTCGTGGTTTGAAAAGACCAGGGTAAGCAGATGTAGGTAAGCCCAGCCAAAAAAAAAAAATGGCGAGTCGAAGATCTAGAATCTGGTTATCGCAGAATATGAAAGAAAATTTCAATTAGATAAATACATAGCCACATCGAAACCTACGGTAAGCAACCCTTATCTAGAGATTCGGCCGGGCCAAAGCAGCTAGGTAACTTAAACCCTACAGAAACAGCGTTGCGCATGCGGGGCAATTGCCAAAACTCAGCCCTGGCCTCGACACAGCCCTAAACTGGTTTTCCAACGCAATAATAGCTGAATGGATTCATTGTAAGCCGTTTTGCAGTGCCAATAAGGGATGCTGCCTACGTGTTGGCCTTTGAACAGAAGGCCTAACAGAAGCGGGTTCAATGACCCTGGCCGGCTGCCTAAAATTTAAAAGAGGATCCAACATTTTCCCAAGACTAAAACTTTAAAATCAGACCGAATTTTATATCTTGCAAAATAAAAATTTGTTTCAATGACCTAACTTCGAATCTTTTTTCGGCTGTATGTACCGAATTTAGATCAATAATAACTATGATTTCTTTTCTTATATTTAAAATTCATTTTACTATGACTATAATGTTACTACGACATCTCTATTTTAATTATAAAATAATTAAGCCAAAAAACTTTATGATTAAAAATAGCAAAGGTTCAATTCTTCCCCATTTATTTTTTGATAAATCTTTTGTAAGCGATATGATATAGTTTTCTGATCCGGCCTTTTTCACCTATATACTACCTGGAATAGGAAAAAAACGTTTATAAAAGTTGTTTGCAGATAGCTTTACAACTGAGATACTATTTGCAGACGGGTAGATGTACAGACTATTTCGACTCGTTTAATGATACGGATCAGGAATAGATATGTATATGTAACATGTACATACATACATATATACTTGACTCCTTCACTGCAAACTTCTGACATGTATACCTGTGCAAAGTATACACAAGTTTATAACCTTATAAGTGTATAATAATACTTAGGGCACTTTAAAATATTTTCAAAAGTCGCACAAACTATTACTAAATCGTCTCTAATCTGAAACTTTTACTTACATCGGTTTGCGGAAGTTAATTTACATTAGGGTTAATAAAAAAAAAGAATAATCTTTATTTTGCGTGGTAAATTTTATCTGCCACATTGTTAATCTCTTACTGTAAAATTTAACTTGAAATAAGCGCAACTCCAATGTATGTAGGTATGGTCTGCCCTATAAATTACGCGAATGGTAACGTCTCACACATATCTATGTATAACTTTTTTATTAAAATTATTAACCGATGTCACCTTTATTAAATTATTAACCGGCATCTCTTTAACAAATTTTATGGCGTATGTACTTACATTACTCGTAGAGTAGAAGAGTATACTAAGTTTGTTGAAAAGTATGTAACACTTAGATCCTTATCAAGATATGCATCGATTTGCCAGTCTATCTGCTACTATGCACGTTGAAGTCTAGGGAACTTTTAGGACTAGAAAGGCAATTTTTTTCAGATTTTTATACCTATTACTCGTATAGTAAAACGGTATAGTAGATTCGTTGAAAAGTATATAATAGGCAGAGGGAAGCGTTTCCTTCTAAAAAAAAATATATATTCTTGATCAGGATCAATAGCCGAGTCGAACTGGCCATGTCCGTCTGTCCGTATGATCGATCTCAGGAACTACAAAAGCTAGAATGTAGGAATCAAGCATGCAGCTTCCAGAGACGAACGCAGCGTACGTTTTCCAAATGCTGCCACCCCCACTCTGGTTTGTAGGCGTTAGAATCGGTGTGGAAAACTAATTAAAAAATTAAAAAATATCAAAACATTTTTCAAAGTTGTAGGCATGGCATTTTTTTGGTTTATGGGCGTGGCAACATTTGGAAACAAACTGGCGCTGCGTCTATGTCTCTGGAATCTGCATGCTTGATCTCAAAATTCTAGCTTTTGTAGTTCGTGAGATCGAGGCGTTCATACGGACAGACGGACGGACAGATCGACCTGGCTTCCTTCTGCCTGTTACATACTTTTCAACGGATCTAGTATACCCTCTAACTCTACGAGTAACGGGTATAAAAAGAAGTATTAAAACATTTTTAATCTGTAAAAAATATAAATTTAATCTTTAATTTTTTAAAAATCTTTGTCATTTCATTTGTTAAGATTCCACGCTGTTCTTTGTCTTCTTTTCCCGTTTTTTGCTTTTAATCTTAAAGCTAAATTTAATATTATTCGTCTGCAGCAGCTCTACATAGTTCATTTTTTTTAAATTTTTTTAAGGTATCATTAGAGGTGATGTCAGAACTGTAAAATGGGATGTAACTGTAATGGGATTTTGCGGTCTTTTTTCTTTCGGATTTTTATAAAATTAAAATAAATTCTTAATTTCCGCATTTAAAAGTCCCTTTCTTTTCCATCACATCTACGATTAAGTTGTTGATTTGGGTTGCAAGAAATGTGTATCTAGCTTTCTGTACTCAATATCACAACATGTGCCTTCCATGTACCCAGTGGCAGGTTTGCTTTCTTCCTTCGCATGACCAATGCATTTTCCGATTCTACCACAGCCCTGGCCGAGGACTTTGCTTCGGGGAGCTTTATTGGAAGCATCTGTAGAAATCCTCAGGGATCTGTTTGTGGCCGGGTAATGATTAGCATGAAAGCAGACACCAGTTGTTTTGACCAAGTCTCCGAGACTTCCTCGCAGTTGGCAGAGAATCTTGTCTTGCTTCACGCGAAGTTTGGCAGGCATGGAGAACTTTTCATCCCATATGGGTCCAGTCGCATCTAGTCCCTTTGCTGTTAATCGCTCCAGATCTTTCAACAGATTGTCCCTCTCGCAACCAGAAGCCAATGATATCTGCCGCAGTCGGAACTGAACTTTGGCATAATGGGAAGAGATTTTAAAAAGCGCCTCTTGCAACTGCTCCACTTCACCCTCAAGCTGACACTCATATAGCGTCATAGTCCTGCTGACCATCCGGCCTTCCGAGTCAAGTTCGGCGTAAAGTCGCTCCTCTTCAAATAATTCCGGTGAACTGGATATGGTCCGTCCGGATACAGCGACATTTTGGTCTTCATTATTCTTACTACCCATAATCTGTGCAGAAAATGTATGCTTTTTTTCCAAGAAAGCCAAGAAAATAAATACACAATTTTATTTTGACAGTAAAATTCAGAGTAGAATACTTACTGAACGTATTTCTTATTTCAGTTGTATGAACACTTATATGATGTGGCATCGGTGGAGCGCCCTTAATATTATTTAGAGCAATAAAGTCAGAAACAAAGTTGAGCACTTGAGAACAAGAGAACATTTAAGAGTTAATAGCTTTTCAGCTTTTATAGTTCCCGAGATCACATCGTTCAAAACAGAACTTCGGACAGAAAGCCGTACTGATAGACGGATATGGCCAAATCCACTCGGCTGGTGATCCTGTTTAAGAAAATATGAATACTTCATAGGTTCGGAAATGCCGGTTACCTATTAAATACTTTTCGACTATTCTAGTATTCCTTTTTACTTTACGAGTGACGGATACTAAAACTGTCAGTCCCACACTTAAAAGTTTCTATTATTAAATTAACATTTTTTATCTTGCCAATACCTACAATTTGAACATTTACTTTAGCAGCGATTTATAAATGATCATATAAGGGCTTGACATTGGTACGTCAAAGTTCCATATAATTCTGAAATTAAACATTGTTAATAGTCAAATTTTCAAATAATATTTTATAATAATATATTATGCTAAATACACCACTTCCTTATATACGTATAAATAACCATTTTCGAATTCGCCACTAAATTGAAGAAATTCATTCGCTGGCTTTGAAAGCAGAAATCGAAAAATGTACATTCTTATACCCGTTACTCATAGATTAAAAGGGTATAATAGATTCATTTAAAAGTAAGTAACAAGCAGAAGGAAGCGTTTCCGACTATATAAAGTATATATATTCTTGATCAGGATCAATCTACTACGATCTACAACGGCCATTCAACTAGAATGTTGAGACTTAGCATGTATGTACATACATATGTAGCTTCCAGAGACATTGACGCAGAGCAAGTTTGTTGCCCCGCCCACTCTAACGCCCACAAACCGGCCAAAACATTCACGACCACACTTTCGAAAAATGTTGTGATTTTTTTATTACTTTTTTATATATCTTGTAAATTTCTATAAAAACTTTTTCCAGGCCCACTCTAATGCCCACAAACCGCACAAAACTCTTACGGCCACACTTTTAAACAATTTTAAAGTTTTTTTTCATTTAATTATTTTTTCCCCAATTTTTACCGATATTCCAGAGAATGTTCAATTTTCTCGGTTGCACTCCACTAGCTGAGTAACGAGTATCTGATAGTCGGAGACCCCGACTATAGCATTCTATCTTGTTTTTTGTTACAATTAATGTCTCATAGATAAACGATTAGTTTAAGAATTTAATTTAATTTAATTTAGTTTTGTAATTTTAATTTAATTTGTAGTTCCCTAAATGTTAGAAAATATTTAAATGTCAAGACAGTTTTTTCTCAATAAATTGCGTTTTAATATCATGGTTGGTTATCAGATATCCAAAGGTAACTTGAAGTGAGGTGTTCGACCCCGAAGTCATGGTATTAAATAAAAGCTTTAAAAGTGAAGCCATACAATAGATTAATTTGCCGAAGTGCTAGAGCTGGCGTAACATCCAGCTTACTCAGATGCTCCGGATATTGTTAGAAAATCTACTGTGTTTCTGGACTGTGCCAGCCAGATTATGGCATGCAAAATTAGCACTTAGTTCTAATCAATACCAGGTGCCCCATAAACGGATCATTCTGCCCAGAGCTTTCACAATTCCCAATCATACATTTGCGTCTATTTCCATGTTCGCGCAACGGAGTTGCCCACAGCGCGGCATAGTAGAACAAGCCAACCAAATTCATGTATCCAAAAGATTTCGTATGTTGCAAGCAATTGATTTGCAATGTCCGGGCCCCATAATCTACTAGTACTCCTATCGGGAACACAAGGATGCTGCTGCAAGCCCTTAAGGGAATGGTGAACCGGAAAACCAGGGAAATGTCGATTCGCGGCTCCGAGAAGCAAATGCAGCGTTGCGTTAGTTGTAAGCGGATGAACATGAATACTATATGAGATTTGAGTCAAAAAAAGGGTCCTCTGTTGCGCGTTAGTCTTGTTCTTCAACGGCTTTGAGTAGTGCCTATTTAATTTTTGTATGCTTTTATATCACTGTTGAAAGGTAGTGTCCTAACATCGAAGTCATGTTAACATTAAGGCGTCCACGTGGTGACGAGGCGAAAAGGAAGTTAATTCTTCCTTCTTCCTATATACATATGTATATTGACACGAAAACTTCAAAACTTGCTGTAATAGTACGGTCATATCAAAGCTCATACACCAATTAAAATATACTATATAAACAAAAACTGTTGCAAGCTACCTTAAAAAATATAGCCTTACAAGTGTAAAGTTAAAATCCTAGAACTGTTAAGAAGGTTAGGACTCATATCGATATTCTTGCTAAATATTCGCGTCTTCTGACAGTCCACCTAGTGACGGAGCGGACACCAGTCGCAAAAATATAAATTTTGTGGTCCAAGAATGTGTAAAAGTTAATTTTGATGGCCTGGATGGGACTGTCGTCACCCACATCAAATATAAAATTCATGCTAAAACAAGATAGAATGAAAACAAGATAGAAAACATTTTTTTAACGTGTGGGTGTGAGAGTTTCGTGCTGTTTGTGGACGTTAGAGTGTGCGTGGCAAAAAGCTCTTTTTTTCAAATCTATAGAAATTTACAAGATATATTCTAAAATTAAAAAATATCACAACATTTTTCAAAAGTGTGGCCGTGACAGTTTTGTGCGGTTTGTGGGCGTTAGAGTGGGCGTGACAACATTTGGAACCTTGGGCTGCGTCTATGTCTCTGGAAGCTGTATGCTTAATCTCAACATTCTAGCTTATGTAGTTCCTGAGATCGATCATAGGACAGACGGACATGGCCAGTTCGACTCGGCTATTGATCCTGATCAAGAATACGTTTCCTTCTGCCTTTTACATACTTTTCAACGAATCTAGTATACCCTTTTAGTCTACGAGTAACGGGTATTAAAAAAGTATTTCGCATTGACTGTATTAAATACATACCTGTGCACCCTTACATTTCTACTGATACGTGACGTATGAGTACGTTAAATATTCTGTACTGTAATAAAACGATGATATATGTTTTGTATGATGAAGGTACGATCGACACATGTTTTTTCCTTAAAGAGGTCAAATAAATATAATTTTTGGTGACAAAAGTTTGTATCAGAAATTTTTGCATGTTGAAGGTGCTTTTTACAGTGTAATATTTTAACGGACTTTTTAACCTTATCTTTTGTACCGCTTATACAATAAAAATTTACCAAAAATCCGTCTATCTAAATGGACGATCGACACTAACAAATAGATGAGGTCGGTTATGTTACATTTAAATATCAAAACAGGAACATAAAAACATGTTAATATTGATATTAGTGTTTCAGCCTTTAAAACAGTTCCACAGAAGTATAATTTGTTCCGCCCACCTTTAAACCAGGAAACTGTTGGACAATCAGATAATAGCATTACTTAAGCAGTGTTTTGTGTCCTGTGAATATTTATCGCAGGCTGAAGAGTGCTGCGGTCCTGAGCCGGCAGATTCCGTCTTCCGGATGCTGCTCTGGACTCCGGTTCCACCCAGCTTTTGTACTGCGTCCGTGAAAACTCCGGCCATAAATCGCGTAGCGCGGCCTGCTGCCGGAATAACGTCAGCTGTCAGCAGTTTGTGGCTTCGAAATATAAAGCACATCTAGGAGCGGCACGGTAACGAAAGAAAGCGGCTAAACTACTCTTAGATATAGCAAGTTCGTAATTGGAATTTGGCTCGCTCAGTTTATAGCTGTCTATTTAAGAGAGCACTAAGAGCGCTGGGTATTTCGCTCTTTGCTGAAAGTTTGTGGAAACCCACGCGAATATATGCAGTTTTTAAGTGAGCGCGGCTTTCCAAATTTTCCAGTGACACATGTCGGCTCGCGTGTACAGAAGAGCAGAAAGAGAGCAGAGCAAGCTCGCATGCTCTCCAGAAAACGCACTTTGCGGTGCATTCCATTCCACTTTTGCAGGAGTCTTCGCACGTTTTTGGGACAATTTCGAATGGTTTATGCAATCAAAACAGATGGGAAGGTAAACCCCAGAAACAGTCTGCCGAATCCTGCAGATGCGTGTATCCGGCTGCTGTTCCTCCTGTTTCTCCGGCTCTGTCAGTCTACTCCGCTCGCTCGGCTTCCATTGGAAGACTACTGCGCTGAGTTTTGCCCGACTAGGAAAGAGGATTCGAGTCCGCTTCCCGACGGCCTCTGTAAAAGAGCCGTGCAGTTTTCGTCCTCCTGCTGCGTTCAGTTGCAAACGGACCTTTCAGACGCTGAGTTCGAAGTTCGCTCGTGGTAAAGGCGGAAGCTGCTGTCCAGAAATTGTGGGAAACGTAAATATAGGGACCACAGTCCTTCCCACGCGGTAAGTCCCGGCTCCGAGTGCGAAACGACCATGTAGCCGACTCTGTTCTGTGTGCGCCCGCATCCGGTTTTCGTTTCGGTTTCGCTCGGCGCTTGTTAACTGCTATTTATGCAGCGTGTTTCGCGTCCACATCCTAAATAAATGGAAATGTACCCGAATAGACAGAACGTTAGCATTTTTAGGGAATGCATTGCGGCTGTAAGACTGTAAAAGACCCTTTGCTCGCTTCGCATTGGCAGTATTACACGGTTAACAAAAAATATTTTTCCAAAGTTTGTTGTAGACCAGAGTAACAACATTACTTGGCAAGTCGCCGTAAGATTTCTTTTTTAAGTTGCAAAGTTTGGCACGTGTTTGAACTTTGGGCGGGTGCCCATCATCTGATTGACGGTAATGGGCTTATAATCGTAGGACGGGTGTGAATTATTAAGCCTTGATTTCTGCGAAGTGAAATCAAGTAAAATCCACTTTGGAAAATTGGAAATATACAAGTGTTGTATTCATCAAACACCCATATGGGAAGACATTGTGCTTAAAGTAAATTACTCAGTATCAAAACGAAGTGCGGTTGATGACCTCAA